CAAAAACTGGTTCATTCATCTCGCCATTTATACAAAAACTAATAAGTGCTACTCGCTTATTTTAATGGTGTGGTGTTACAGTATGATTACTCGTCATGACTACATCTTGCTCTAACTCATATGCAAATTTTTTTTTTGAGAAACCAGATTTGCTTCTTGTTTCAATATTTGTCTAATCATCAATCAATGTTCACCAAATTGCTCAAAAAAATGGAACAGAAAAATTAACTGCAGGATACATGTAGTTCCAGTTTGTTTAAGACTCGCTGGCGCGTGTTATTAGGCAAAACAGCAAGATGGCAATAATCGAACTTGTGTAGTCAACTTACTTATTGAATTTATGAGTCAACAAACTCAAAGCAGTCAGAAGTGGAAACTCGTGATGATACCCTCCTTTTACTAAGGTCGTGGTCGACATCGGAAAAAAATTTTGCGGTTCATCTTATACGCCATTTCTTTTTGCCGCACAAATTGGATGGACGAAATGTTAGGGGGGTTGGAAATAAACTTCTGTTTGATCCACTTAAAATGGAAAGGATAAGACAGATAATCTTTAAATTTTTTCCATTAATGTGAACGCAGCAAGAACAGTAACATGCTTTGTTTATAAATTATCTAACATGTCCCATTACCACAAACACATAAACAAAACACATTCTCAGAAAGGAAACTGTACTGCTCCTAACTTGACTAAACATTTGTCACCACTAGAGTTTGTTTCGTCATTTTCTTTTGCTTCCAAAGATGGTGTTGTCCCCCAGTGCAAGCAATCTACCAACTTTTCCTTACCTAATGCTTATCATCAGCCAGTGCTGGCAATCTATTGTTTTGCAATTTTTCCATGAGAGAAGTGCATCCAGTGATTTCTTTTTCCTGAAGAGCAGGAGCTGGACAGACGTGAATCTGACAGATATTTCAAATTTACAACCTAAGATCAAAAGGAAAACGTCAATTAAGAAGATTTGATCTCTCTTCTCTTACACGAGTCTTTCAAGTAGAGGGCTGCCAAAATAATCCATTTTACGTAGCAGTCAAATGTTGAAGATAAATGATTTGTACCGCGGGATGCTGTATGACGATCAACACTCAGGATATAACTTACTATGGCTCCCAAGTTTACGTGTACGTCTACATGTACGCTACATGTACATGTAAGTCCATGAACTGGTCAATTTTTAGATCCAAATATAATTTTGCGCAGCAATCAAACGATGAAGATAGAAGATTCATACCGCAGGATGCTGCATGATGATGAACACTCAGAATAGTCAGAATGCAACTTACTATAGCTTCCAAGTTTACGTTTGGGCTAAATCTCAGAGTTCAAATACTGGTCAATTTGTAGATCCATGTCTGTGGTTAACAAATACTTCACCGCTTTTCAGTGCACCCACGACTGACAAATTGAAATTTGGCGGACACAAATTTTGTCGAGAGTATTTGAGGAGCCAAACAAACTTCCAGCGCGCCCGGGCTTACACACACACCCTTTCGCACCTACCGAGAACGAATCTACGCGCGAAATTCTCATGATCGGGAAAATTTTAAACATAGCTGACACATACTGTTAACTTTGACAAAAATTACAGTTTTCTTAATCCAAGAAATGTGTGCAAGCATGAGGCTGTTCGGAAATCTTGCCCGACTAAACACCACCGTGCAATCGATTTCAGCCGAATGATAACTTACGTAAATAGTTAAATGTAATATCGCTTATGAAAAGGTTACCTGTTCTTCCGACATTTCTGAAGTATAAGCTTAGGCTGAAGTTACATGTGCGACCACACCGACCGCCAAACAGGAGAATTTACCGCTCAAATGTTGTCAGCTCTAGTCTAAGGAGAAACTGATAATTTTGAGCGTGCGCTGAGTTCTGAGGTGCGCGCTAATCGATAACTTGTTTCCAGATTCTACTCCGCCAACCTAGAAGTAAAAGGGGTAAGTAGTTTCCAAAGAACCTGTAGTGCCGTGTCGGTGGGGTGGTGTAACAAGATAATTGGGTTTTATCAGCTGAGTTGATAATGTAATTTGGCCACAGCGTTAGCGTTAGCCCTTCATTAGAGCAAACTGTCAGCTTAGAAACTCTTTACTGTGGCCAATTTACATCAACTCAATTGATAAACCAAATAATCTAGAGCTGAGATGTCGGTTGTCTCAGGAGTCATCCCTTGACTATGACTATACCGCAGAATAGGCGCAATATTCTTGAGTTTTTCTGGCAAGCGAGAGACGAGAACGAAGCACGAGTCACGCACGAGAGGGGAGGACGAGAGCAACAACATGAGGCTCTTCGAGCTAGGTTACTTCCCACCCTCAGAGGCCGAAAAAATAGATTTTTCTTTTATTTGAATAAACTGAATTAAAGAATTCAACCTAACTTTTTCATAAACAAATTTTCTAAAATCTTTCTAAAAGCACTCGAGTTATTTAGAAGAACGTATTTCCAAATAAAAGTTATAAAGTCAGGAAGGTGTCATGATCTCGGACCTGGGCGAATCTCTAAGGAGAATTTTCGCGGCAACCGCTCATGTTGGGACTCGTTTTTCATGTTATTTCCATATTTTATTTACGTTGCGCACACGACAAAATTCACACGTGGAACTATTTGCTTCTAGAAAAATCTTCAGGGAAAATCAAAGCCGGAAGAAAGTCCTCGTTCAAGAAAAAAAAAAAGTCCATTGAAGAAAGAAAGAAAGGAAGAAAGAGTACCATTCTGTCCAGAAAAGAAAAAAAATACCTTTTTGAAAGCGACTGGTAGATCATGAAGAGGCCCTGATAGAGTAACTTGATTTCAATAATGACGCCGAGAGCGATTTTATTGCATATATGTACTTCGTAGATGTTAAATAGTATCACTCAAAATCAAGCAATTCTATCTCTGCTTTCTTGTTCTCTTCTTTGAGGCGGACTATTTGCGACATTTCCAGCATTTATAACCAGTAGCTTATAACGGCAGCTAAAAAGATATTTTGCGTTGAAATGTTGAAATGGTACATTAGAGACCTTAAGCAGTCAGGACGGCTACGCTAGGGAAGACCTCGACTAAAAAATGAATTTCTGCCTTTACTTAGAATTTAAAAAATGGCTGCATTTGTTTATCGTCTCATACGGCGCCACACCTCAACTTCAGCATAGCGCATAAAAGAAACGTTGAGCTCCGAATGGAAGTTAAAATAATTTGCCGTCGCGGTTTCGTTTCGCAGACGACACAAATTGAAGGGATTTCACGTTGCTGTTTTGCATGGGACGGATAAGAAATGTACAAAGTTTTAAAACGCACGTGCTGATCTTGTGTTCTGTAAATTAGAGCTTTTGTTTTTCCATGTACTTGTTGCCGTCGCCGTCGTGGTTTGCTCAAGGTCCCTATTAGTAAATTGCAAACGTACTCCCAGTCATCCAGATAGATCCCGTGTCTTTCAGGGAGTATGTGTTAATGCTACCTTTTTCTCGACTGAAAGAGCCGGCCGATTAGGAGATTTCGAGTTTGCAAATATATGTGCCCCCAGTTGTTTATAGTGGTCTTCGAATACTATTCTCGTCATTCGAAAAACTTTCTTCCACTTTTCTTCCGGTGATATGAGTGTGATCATGTTTCGCCACCACTGATCTGTTCTTCCGTTGTTGACCCATCTTGTCCGTTTGTTTTCGTCAGTGTCGCCGAAGTTTCAATTCCTGGCATTCTCAACAATTACATTTCTCTTTCGCGCAAAGCGAGTCACCAGCAAGTCCATATTCCTCTTTTTATAGAGCATGCACAGATGTAAAAGGTCATGTAACTGCAGAAATGTGAATAAAACAACCGTTCAAAGAAGGCGAGGCCTGAAAATTACCGCTTTAATCCTGGCTACCCCATTTTACACCATTTTACACTCGACGTTTGAACAGTAGAGGTGTATAGTTCTTCCTAACAGCATTTTACGATACTGACTTTTTTTATAAACCAAATAAAAAATTTCTACACGTTATTCGTGATATTAGACTTTTCTATAGAAATAAGAAAGAAACAACCATTTTTGAGATTGAGAGTATTTTCTTTATTCTTTAGACCAGCTACGCAAAGTTATGTACAGATTTTGAGAGCCAAGCTATTTTGAACTTCAGTGTACACGAGACTCTAAAAATGGAGTATGACAGCCATAACCCGCTTCTTTTCTATTATTCAACCGGTAACAAAGAATGAAAGTGGCAGAAAACCCTATTTGAGATGTCCTAATCGACAGACGACTGATTACTAGTAAGATTACCGTGCTTTCTTTCATTTTAATAAAAGGGGTCGATTTCTTGGAGAAAAAATGTGATGATGCGTCGGTGGGGGAGTATAACTTAGTTTTTTCAACTGAGTTGATAAATAAACAATAACCTCTACTTGGTGCGAAAATATACACGGATAACTGTGAGCTTCGAGAAAGGACAAATATATGAGCATGTTTTCGCGCAAACCAGAGGCTTTTGCGTTTATTTTCCTATACATATTTTGCAACGCGCGTGAAGAAATGTTTACGAACTGCTTACTGTTTGCTGCGTGGGGTGTTTTCTGGTCTGACTTTATGAACAAACATTTTCCTTCATCTGTAACAATGCCGGATAAAACACTCTCTCGTCTTGATTGAAAATTTAAGCGAAGACTTATCGTAATAGAAGTGAAAGTTGGGTGATATCCTCAGATATAGCCCAGTTTTAGCTGGGAAATATTCGACAATTGATGTGGTTAAACCAATCGCGCGCAAGAAAAATGATTTGATGAATCATAATTGTAGGTATTCTTTTGGTCTATCTCAATGATCGTGAGGTAGGTTTGAGATGAAAACTCGACGAGCTGGCTGTAAATAAGTCCTTTTTCTTTCATAAAAGTATTCTAACCAAAGTTAAAACGATGTCACTTTCTTTTAAACTCTAGCTTGCTTTAAGATTATAAGCACATAATATAAAACTAAAATTAAGAAAAAAAAGTCCCCGAGGAGTAATTTTTTTGCCTTATTAGAACTAAATAAAGGACTAAAAACTGGCAACAATACAAACAAAGCTAAGCAAACCTAGCAAAGAGTTAATCGTTAAATGACTTGGAAAGCTTCAGATGTTGTTTATGTGGAAAAAAATTTAAGAGGTAGTTAGAAAAATTACATTTAGATGATAACTTTGGTAACGATCTGAGCTGAGGCTACGCATGTGTTTGCATCTGTTGAGTTTACCATCTCTACCATTTCTATCTACAAACATTACGCTATCGACACTGCTGATCCTAGCAGTATGCAGGACGCGTGTCATATGAACTTCGTAATAAACCTCCCTCACCGTAGAGTCTCTGTGACTCAATGGTCGAGCATCCAAGCGCAAATCCGAAGGTCTGAGGTTGGATTCCTCATTGGAACGCAGAATTTTTTCTTTGTCCCACGCCCGTGACAAGACTAAAGCCATCTTTCATATGAAATATCTTTTTGAGGCACCTCTATATTTCTGAAATCATTATTTAAACTTCAAGCTGTGATGAGCCAAGAGATTATAATGTCTTGGATGAGCTCTTTTCTGACTTTAGAACTTTTAAATGACATCCATATCATCTAAAATGTTATTCAAGCTCAGCAAAGCTTTCTACTTCTTCCTGAGTCGTTTTTTTAAATAAAATTTATCGTTTCAACTTATCAATTTTTATTTGTTGACTCGTTTTCTGTTGGTGGAAATTTAAAGTATGCATCTGAACGTACCTGAATTGAGAGTGCCATTACCGCAACAGATACGCCTAATAATTCATTTATTTTTTCCTCGGAAGATTTATTCTTAATCAAGGTGCTTGAAATATGTGCGAACTCGAGTGTTTGGCCACCATAGATTCAGAGGAAGAAACCGAAAGAAAGCTGTCAGTGATTATAATCTCCCTGTGCTTTAGTTTTTTCTAGCCGGAGCAATATCTTAGAGGTACACAACGAATGAAATTACGGACGTCTTTTTTTAGAAGGATAGGTGTTCCCCCCCTCCCAAATGTTGATATTAACACTAACTTCCTGGGAAACGTTTTTGATTGCTGAAAAGACTTAAGGAATATAAATATGCTGATCTAATATATTTTATGTATGACGATGAATATCAAAGGAACTATTCATGCCAACTTTGCGTATTAAAAAGAGGGAAAGGGGCCCCTCCTTCTCACCCCAACCCTCCTACATCTCATTGAAATAATATCAAAGTCAATGTTCCTCATATCTTGGCATTTGAAATTTTATCAGGACGGTAGAGTAATGCGGAGAATGATTCGTTTCCTCCTCTTCGCTTTCTCGACGAACCTGACAACTGCTACTAATTAGTGAACGGCTTAAAAGAAATCAAATCTTTGGCCGTCATATCCCTGCAAGAGGACGCCAACAACCTCGCGAAACACGTCATGAATGACACCAAGCTCTTTGTACGGCTTAAACCGCTGATCCCCCTTGTTTGTCAGTGGGCACGTGTTAACGCGGCGTGAATCATATAGACTAAATACAAAGAGCCGCTGACGAAAATACTTTGATACAAAACAAATTTCAGAATGTGGGCTTTTCAACAATAGCTTTTGTGGTCAAATATCTTCGTGGCGTTTTTTTTTCCCCACCTAATGATCGTAAGTTTTTTTT